ATATGCATCCATGCTTGTTGGTGTAGACACTATTAGATATTCAAGATTAATCCCATTAACAATTACATTACATAGTACACATTGCATTGATAGATACAAATTAGTATAGAATATGAAACTTATATTAGTAATTAGTGATAAGAGAATATTTAACATATATTTTGTACAAGTTTGGCATGAACTTTTGGTATATTTTGAGGAGATTAAAGTCATATTTGAACTCTTTTGGTGATAATTGCTTAAATATTGTTTAAGTGTTCAAAACTTGATAAATGAGTGGATTAATGCATTAATTTTGTGAAATTGTGAAGGATATTGATATATGAAATTCATGCACAAAATGAAGGAAATGTAAGGATCGTCAAGAGGATAAAGCACAAAAGAAACTAGGAACAAAAATGAAGAAAAAGGAAAGAAGTGAAAATCTGGAAATTGACAAGCACGGATCCGAGTAAACAAAGGGCGATCCGAGCCCTCGTCTATACTTTTGGAGTAATGGATCCGAGGTAAGTTCGGATTTATATAGAAAGGCCTCGGATCCTCCATGATCCGAGCTCGGAACTTTTTTCACTCCTCGGATCCGAGACTCGGATCTGCCTCTCTGTACTGCAAGTGACACAGCCGTTTTTTCTCACTTTTCACACAACTTTCCAGTTATCTTGAGTGAGAGAATTCGGTGACACATGCTTCTGCAACAAAAGGGAAGACAAAATGAGTTATTGACAAGTCAAAACAACATTTCTTTTGACTTTCTTTACAAAATCTGAGTTGTTAGAATCATGAAGGAGAAGAAAGTGCCTTTCTACCACCTTTTATGCAGAAAAGGAAGGAGAAGCTAGAGGAGGACCATACGTAGCTAGTTTTTCTTCTTACATGTTTCTCTCTAGCTAGAGGTTCTTGAGGAAGCACTTGGAGATTTCACTTGTAATCATCTTGTACAAGACATAGCAGAAATTTGAGAGTTTCACCATTACTTGGCTAAGCTTTCTTTTATCTTTCTTGTTCTTGTACTTTATGATGTTTTGCATTAATAAACTTGTGAGTTTGATTGTTATATCATTCATGAGCAGCTAAACTTCTTTATCTAGGGAGTAGATGAAACTTATGGCTAAATGATATGAATTGAATGTGATTTACATTTGTTGTATCTTGTATTGACTTGTCTATTTATATAGTTGTAATTACTTGTTATTGTTTGATCACCAATAGCATGTTTATAGTTGTTATTATTCAATGAGAATTGATAGTAACAATGGAAACACATGAGTAGAGCTTAAGTTGTATGTTCATGAAAATAGAGGTACACTTAAGTGGATTACTTAGCATTTCATGAAGAAAAATAGAGTAGAACTAGTATTTCACCATGAAGATAGGAAAAACTGAACTACTTTAGACCATTTTATCATGAGAATGAGATTTGGTAATATTAGAAATGAATCCCTGGTTTAACAAGAATAATAATAAGAGGTAAATCTATTCATTTGTGTTGTTTATGCCTGATAAGAGTTTATTTTACGTATTTTTTAGTGTGTTTTATTAGTTAATTTTGGTTTGATTATTTAGTTTTATAACTAGAATAACTAAGGTTTTGGTAAAAAACTACATTTTATGTTAAAGTGGCTAAACATTGCATTTTATGGATTTTTATGGTAAAAACTTCATATTTTGTAGGTTTAATGATTCAATCATCAAATGAAGTGCATTGAGAATATATTTGGATTATTGATGATGGATTAAAGTTGTGAAAATAAAATATGAAGTGTAAAAGGAAGAAATGCAATTTGAGGACAAAAATCAAGAAAAGTCAGCTTTCACAACTCAGACACATTTTCGTATTTTGACTATATCAGGAGTTACAATGATCGGATCAAGGTGATCTTGGTACCATTTTGAAGCTAAGAGATATATCTACATTTGGTATGAAAACATCAAAGTCCAATTCAGCCGTTTTCTTGGTCAAAAGGTCGAAACACAGAAACTTATCTGGATGGTCGAAAGCTGAAGCCCAGAATTGACCAGTCTATGGTATTTTGACCATATCTCAGTCCACCGATCTCCAAATTAGATGATTCTTGAAGCATTGGAACTCTAATTCAAAGGGCTACAACTTTTGTGTTTTGCACAAAAGCCAGTTCGGCCTTCATCATGGAGAAAAATGCAGTTGAAGTGAGGTCAAAAGTAAAAACGTGTATGGCAGCCGAATTTCTGTAATTTGCTCAGCCATTTTTCTCATCTTCACACTACTTTCCAGCTAGAGTTGGAGAGAAAACGTAGGCTGCACATGCTTCAGAAGACATAAGGAAGAGATATAGCCAAGGTTCCAAGTCAAAAGCCATTATTTTTGACTCCCTTAACAAATCCAGATTTGGAGAATCAAAGTGGAGAGTCATAGCAGAAATTTATGACTGGTAAGGGAAGGACTTTTCATCAGCTTATATGTAGAGACATTTGAGGTCTATGAGGAGAGAGGAAATATACTAGAGAAGCTTGGAGTCTGCAAAAATGTAGCTTTTCCATTCTCTTATTGTTAGATTAGCTTAGTATAGAGTAGTGTAGCTTTCCATTCTTGTTTATTATCTAGATTAGGATGAAGATGGAGGATGAAGAAGGCAAGGAAGAAAGCTCATGTGACAAGGGTTGTATTCCTTCCAAACTCTTTATCTTTTGTATTTGATTCCAAATTTAGTTAATATACAAGTTCTGGATTTTGTGTTCAATATGTGTTTCTAAAGTTTATACCTTGGGTTTGGTTGAACTTTCTATAATTGTTAGTGTTTATTATTTGGTTATTTGACTGCTATGATTTGAGCAAGTTATTTAGCACTTTAGCTCTTGAAATCATGATTAATCTGGTACCATTAATTGTGATTATCTAAGGTGTTGTTTCTGCCATGAAAATTGAGATTTAACACTAGTTCAAGAAGTACTAAACATAGGGAGTACACTCACGAAAGTAGAGGTGCACTTATGTGGTTTTTAGTGATTCATTTCATGTAATTTCATTGAAGAAATGAACTTGTAGCTAATTTCATAACCATGAAAATAGGTATGGATTAGTTATGAGTATAGTTGATTCACTACGAAAGTAGGTTTCACATGTTTAAGGAAATTACACTATAACTAGCCTAGATGTAGTAATTAATTATCCAAATATAGCACTTGCATGAGTAGTTAGGGATACCACAACCCAGGGAGCTTTTATTTGCTATTTTCTTGCATAATTTCAGTAGGTTTTAATTTGTTATAATTCATTGATAGTCTAAATAATAGAGAAGCTTTAGTAGTACCGGTAATTGCAATCTTCCTTGTGGGATCGACCCTTAATACCCTATACTCGCTCACGATTCGTATACTTGCGATAAATCGCGTGTGGGGTATTTAGGAGTTTATAAATGTAAAACTTGATTAGGATGAGTTTAATTGTATATGTATACTCCGCGCACGTCAAGATGTTTATAGTTGTTATTATTCAATGAGAATTGATAGTAACAATGGAAACACATGAGTAGAGCTTAAGTTGTATGTTCATGAAAATAGAGGTACACTTAAGTGGATTACTTAGCATTTCATGAAGAAAAATAGAGTAGAACTAGTATTTCACCATGAAGATAGGAAAAACTGAACTACTTTAGACCATTTTATCATGAGAATGAGATTTGGTAATATTAGAAATGAATCCCTGGTTTAACAAGAATAATAATAAGAGGTAAATCTATTCATTTGTGTTGTTTATGCCATAAGTGGAATCTATATCCCTAAATTTAAGTTTTTAGTAAAGAAATCTCCATTTGTATCTTTCAATTTATTAATCCAGATTTGTAGACAATAGCATTATAATCTTCTTGCTCAGATTTATCGTAAGTCTAAATAATAGAGAAAATAAGAGCCTAGTACTTGTTTAAATTGCTCATTGTGGGATCGACCTGATATTAGCCCAAAACTATGAAGTGACCTGTATACTTGCAGTCCAACGGGTAAAATTCGTAAATAAACTTGCATTGATATAAAAATTCCGTCAAGTTTTTGGCGCCGTTGCTGGGGAGCGGCAATATTAGGGGCTAATCATCTCTATTAATTTAGATATTTCCATTATTTTTATTCAAGTTGTTTATAGTTGATTTGAACATTTAAAACTGCAAAATTTCTCTTGTTTTTATTTGCAGTGTATAGACCGATCAAATCGAGAAGTTGCACCTTTCGATCCTGAAATTGAGAGGACACTTCGGAGACAAATGAGGCATATACCACATCAAGAGGAACAAGAGATTTGGCAGCCGATAGAAGAAATCTTGATAGAGTTACCATTTGAGGAAGAAATGGCAGAAAATTAACCAAATAGGCGAATTCTACGAGATTTTGCTTTACCGGGTACACAAGGATCTCAAACTAACATCGCAAGGCCAACGGTAAATGCTAATAATTTTGAGATTAAACCATCGCTGATTCAAATGGTACAACAATCTCAATATGGAGGTAATACTACCGAATATCTAAATTCTCATTTGTCAACATTTCTTGAAATTTGTGATACAATTAAATTTAATGGTGTTAGTGATGATGCAATTAAATTTCGATTGTTTCCATTTTCACTAAGGGACAAGGCCAAGGTTTGGCTACAATCTCATCCTCCGAACACTTTTACTACTTGGGCTGAATTAGCTAAGGCTTTTCTCAATAAATTCTTTCCACTTGAAAAAACTGCTAGACTAAGAATGGATATAACTAGTTTCTCTCAACAGGAAGGAGAGACATTGTACGAAACTTGGGAGCGCTATAAGTAATTGCAACGAAGATGTCCTCATCATGGTTTACCAGATTGGCTAGTGGTCCAAACATTTTACAATGGTCTCACCTATCCAACAAAGACACATGTAGATGCGGCAGCGGGAGGAGCATTGATGGGAAAGACAGCCGAGGAAGCTCAACAATTGATTGAAGAAATGGCTGCTAACAACTACTAATAGGCCAACGAACGAGGTAATACGAGGAGAACCGCAGGTATGCTGGAAGTAGATACCTTGAATATGTTAAGTGCAAAGATGGATAATGTGGTTAAGATGCTTAATAGGCATGTTGGTTCTAACTCTAATCAAGGAGTAGTTGTTGCATGTTGTACTACTTGCGGCGGAGATCATGATAATTCTATGTGTTCTTGTAGCGAACAGGTTCAATATCTCAACAATTACAACCGTCCACCCCAAAATAATCTATACTTTAATACCTACAATCCAGGATGGCGTAATCACCCGAATTTTGGATGGAAGGATCAAGGGAACCAACAAAGACCAATTAATCCACCGAGTTTTCAACCGAAACAACCACTTCCGGAGTCCAAACCAGCTTGGGAATTGGCAATTGAGAAACTAGCAAATGTATCAAATGATAAAATTGAAAAGTTAGCCAGTGCCACTACTCAACGGTTTGAGAGAATTGAGGGAAGGATGGACCAACTCACCAATATGTACAGAAATGTTAAAATCCAATTGGGGCAAATAGCTAATGCGGTCAATAATCGCAACCAAGGGGACTTACCTAGCAAGATTGAGGTGAATCCAAGAAAACATGTGAAGGCCATAACCCTCCGTAGTGGTAAGGAAGTGGGGGAGAAACTTGTAGCGAAAAGTGAAAGAGAATTTGAAAGAAGAGAAAATAAGCAGTTGAGTAAATTAGGAGAAAATGGCAAGAAAATCAAAGGGAAAGAAAAGATGGAAGAAAATGAACCACAAATTAAAGATACAACACCAATTCCTCCACCGGTGCCATTTTCACAAAGATTGAAACCTTCAAAAAATAACAAAAAATTTGAGAAGTTTGTCAACATTTTCAAACAATTACATATTAACATTCCTTTTGTTGATGCTATTTTGCAGATTTCTTCATACGCAAAGTTTCTCAAGGAGATAATGACTAAGAAAAGGAAGTTAGTAGATAGTGAGACAATTGCATTAACGGAAGAATGTAGTGCCATTGTTCAAAATAAATTGCCACCAAAGTTGAAAGATTCAGGGAATTTCACAGTTCCTTGCACTTTTATAGTCCTAGAAGAGTTAGAAGACTCCCTTTTCTCTTAAAAGTAACAATAGAGCTTTGCAGCTTTGTATGCTACTATAGGTTCTTAGCCTACTGAACACATGCAAAACTCCCTTTTTAACCGGGACGCGAGCGAGGGCCTCATTCTGCTAATCTCACCACCTGGTTATGCTCGAACTCTTCTTTTAAATCCGGACTTGGTAATGTAGAATTCTCTAAAGCACTTTGTGACTTTGATGATAGTATTTCATTGATCCCTTTAACTGTGACTAGGTAATTGGGGTTGAAAGAGTTAAAACGTACTAACATTTTCTTGCAATTGGCTGACAGATCTATTAGACATCCAATGGATATATTGGAGAATGTGCTCATTAAAAGACAGAAATTCATTATTCCTGTTGATTTTGTTGTTTTAGATATGGAGGAAGATATCAATGTACCTATTATACTTGGTAGACCATTTCTGGTCACTGCAGGTACAATAATAGATGTTAAACGTGGTAAGTTCAAGTTCCAAATTGGTGAAGAGTAAGGGGAGTTTGATTTGAGTAAAGTGGAAAATTATTCCTCTTTTATTGACCATGTTTATTCTGTTGACATATGTGATGAATTGGCATTAGAGATGAGTCAAGTTAATCTTGATGATGATTCTCTTGAACTTTGTCTTAATGGTGTAGGCTTACAAGAGGAACAAGTTGAAGAAATTCAATTTTTGCAGGCACAGGTTCCTTACAAAAGGAGCAATACATATGAGGAGTTGGGGATGAGCAAAGGGCTACCTCCACCATCGTGTGAGCAAGCTCCACGGCTTGAGTTTAAGCCACTGCATAAACACCTCAAATATGCATTTCTTGGAGAAAAAGAGACATTACCGGTTATTGTAAATTCTGCACTAGATGAGGAACAACTAGGCAATCTCTTACATGTTTTAAGGAAGCATTTAAAGGCTATAGGATGGACGATTTCTGATATCAAGGGAATCAGTCCAACTATTTGTATGCACCGGATTTTGTTAGAAGAAAATTCTAAATCGGTGGGTGAAATTCAAATGAGATTAAATCCAAACATGAAAGAAGTGGTAAGAGTAGAGATTCTTAAATGGCTGGATGCAGGTATAATTTTTCTAATTTTTGATAGTGTTTGGATTTCTTCTATTCATGTAGTGCCAAAGAAAGGGGGGATAACCATAGTACGTGGTAAAAATGATGAAATGATTCTCTCTAAAGTTGTGGTTGGGTGGCGAGTTTGTATAGATTATAGAAAACTAAATACAACCACTAGAAAGGATCATTTCCCTCTTCCTTTTCTTGATCAAATGGTAGAAAGATTGGCCGGATATGAATTTTATTTTTTTTGGATGATTTTTCAGGATACAATCAAATAGTCATTACACCGGAAGATCAAGAGAAGACCACATTCACTTGTCCTTACGGCATTTTTGCATTTCAAAAAATGCCTTTTGGACTGTGTAATGCACCGGCCATCTTTCAACGTTGCATGATGGCAATTTTCTCTGATTTTAATGAGAAAATCATGAAAATCTTCATGGATGACTTTTCTGTATTTGGATCCACTTATGATCATTGTCTTAACAATTTAGATATAATTTTGCAGAGATGTGAAGAAACAAATCTTGTACTCAATTGAAAAAAATGTCACTTCATGATTTGTAAGAGTATTATTCTAGACCACAAAATTTTTTCACAAGGTATTGAGGTAGATCAAGCCAAGATAGAGGTTATAGAGAGAATGCCTCCACCTACCAATATGAAAGACATTCGAAACTTTCATGGACACGTGGGATTTTATTGGCGATTTATTAAAAATTTCTCCAAAATTGCTAAACCTTTATGTGAGTTGCTTGCAAAAGATTTTTTTTTTCACTTTAATGATGAGTGCTTAATTGCTTTCAATAGGTTGAAGAAAGAACTTGTCTCTGCACCAATAATAGCATCATCGGATTGGAGCTTACTATTCGAATTGATGTGTGATGCGAGTGATTTTGCAGTTGGAGCTGTTCTTGGGTAAAAACATGATAAGTGACTTCATGTCATTTATTATGCAAGTAAAATGCTAAATGAAACCCAAGTCAACTATACAACAACAGAGAAGGGGTTGCTAACAGTGATATTTACATTGGATAAGTTTAGATTGTACTTAGTAGGATCTAAAGTTATCATTTATACCGACCATGCAGCACTCAAATATCTCTTAAATAAGAAAGATACAAAACCTCGATTAATTTGATGGATTTTATTATTGCAGGAGTTTGATTTGGAGATCAAAGATGAAAAAAATCCGAGAACTTAGTCGCTGATAATCTTTCTAGACTGGAGAATATGCCTCAAGAAGATCATTCATCCATTAAAGAAGAATTTTCAGATGAGTTTTTAATGGTAATTTATAAGTCATCATGATATGATGATCTAGTTAACTTTGTAGTTAGTGGAGTGATATCAAGTGATTTGAATTCTCACCAAAGGAAAAAGTTCTTAAATGATGCTAAACATTATTTTTGGGAGGAACCGTTATTTTACAAACATTGTGCAGATGGAATAATTAGAAAATGTGTTTCGGAAGAAGAGGTACATAGTATTTTAATGTATTGTGATGCGGATACGGGTGTGCAATAATTAACTTCAACCTTGGGTCAAGGATCCTTTGGTCCACATTGGCGGTCCGATGACAAGATCAAGATCCAAGAGGGTGAAGGAAGCTTTACGAGCCTTGATCATTCACCATACAAGCAAGGAGCAAGCTAAGTTTGAAGATTTGATGGACCATGAAGTTACTTTGTTCACTTGTACGTTTAAAGTGAAAGAATGATCTCATACTTGTTAGCTTAGTTGGTAGTTGTTTTAAAACTGTCCCGTTTAGTAGTTGTTAGGCGTTGAGTATTTTATTACTTATCGGGCCTTATCGGAAAGCCTTAAAGAGCTGGCTCTTTAAGCTCTTTTATGCGGACCGAATCTCTTCCAGGTTTATGTGGGCCGGATTTTGCCCTAGTTTTAGCCTATAAAAAGGAACCTCTTGTAAGGGTAAAAGACAGATTATTACAACCAGAAATCGTGAGGAATTTTCCTTCAAGTTCTTAACCGAACTTACTCTTGAATTCTTGAGTTCATAGCTTAGGATTCAAATCAGACTTTATCGATTAGCTTGTTCCCTAATCGTGGTGTCGCTTCATCCATCCTTATTTGCTTAAGGTTGCTGATTACCTTTGTGTGTCAGAGGTCTTGAGTTCATGAGAACAATCGAGTTCAATTTCTGTTGGCAGAAAAGATCCAACTCTGATAATTACAAGGTTGGGAGGTTCTAGGAGGGTCTTCCCCTAGGGTTGCCTATATCAGTTGGTAATCAGAGCATCAGGTTAATTCTCTTTTAATTGAAGTTGTTCATATCTTGCTAGTTTGTGTCTTTTGTCAAAAAAACAAAAAAAAAAAAAAACTGTAGCGATTACTGTTCATCGTACTGTTCCGAATTACTGTTCATCATACTGTAGCGTACTGTTCACGTTACTGTTCATCCGAGTCAAAAAAAACTGTTTGGGTGTTGTCTTTTTGTGTTTTCTGTCCAAATTCTTGGGTTTGTTATACTTGTATTTGGGTTGTTAGGGTTTAAAGAAAAAAAAAAGAGTCACGTACCTTATATTGTTTTAGTGTCCAAGTTGCTAGAGTATTGCTGGAATTTTCTTTTGAGTATTGCTGAAATTCTGTTTTGCCTATTTCTTGAGTATTGGTTGTTGTTCTTGCAAACCCTAAACACCACAACGTAATTTGGGAAAATTCTTGTGTTTCTTGAACAAATTCTTGAAGTTCTTGGACCACCAAGTCTTGTTTTGAAAATTCTTGAACAATAAACCAAGAACTAGGGTTTTCTTGGAATTGGCATAACCTTTCATCCGTTTTCTTGAACTTGTTGGTGTGATCTGAATTTGTGTTCCTTGAAGAGCCGAAAAAAAAGGAGAAAAAAAAATGAAAGAAAAAAAAAAGGAAGAAGAGAAGGAATTGGCTCTCATACAAAGGAAATCAAGTTTCCAAAAAAAAAAAATCGTGAGTTTCCAATTCTTGGTGGGTTCCCAAATCTTGGTTAATCTCCAAATCTTGGTTGATTTCCCAAAACTTGAGTTTCCTAATCTTGATTGATTTCCAACTCTTGAGTTCCAATCTTGATTGAATTCCAAAGACCCTAAACGACCTCACCAGCCCCAAACACACCAGATTCTGTTTTCAAAACCAAACCAAACACCTTAGCCCCAAACCGCCTTGGGAGTTCTTGAGTTTCTAAAATCGGTTGAGCTAGTTTTGCAATCCGATTTGACTGCAATTTGAGGACTGATTCATAGATTGTTTGAGCACTCCAGAAACACCATTTACCTTCCAAAGTACTGACCAGAAACTCAGCAAAACAACAGCTCAAAAAAAAAAAAAAAAAGTTCCAGCTTCGGGTAGAGTTTTTCTAAGATTTGTAAAATTCTGCTTTGTGTCTTGTTACTTGCTTATAGGGTAATTAATTCTGGAATTTTTGAGAGTTGAGTTGTTTTAAGAACTTCGAGAAGGAAAATTGAGAGTGAGTGTGTTTTCTTGAGTGATACACGAGTGCTTTGCAAGGTAGACTAGGATACATTTGTTTTGCAGGTTAGACAATATGTCTCAAGAGGGGAACATGCCTGAGCCGTCTGAGACCGACGTGTCACTCAAACTGGTGCTCCAAACTCTCCAACAACTAACCGACAGGGTGGCTGCCATTGAGATGCGAGGTACTGGAGATATTCCCAATAGGGCTTCAAGTGCTCAGAGTGTCGCGCATGATGCGGATGATGAGGGGTATCATTCTAACACCTCATTCCGATCAAGGAAAAGCCACAGGGAAGCGAGGGAAGGTCGAGACCGACCTAGGAGAACCGATGACAATCTTGGTTCCATCAAGACTAAGATGCCTACCTTTCATGGGAAAAATGATCCTGAATCTTACTTGGATTGGGTTAGGCGAGTTGAGCAAGTGTTTGAAGTCCACAATTACTCCGAAGATAAAAAGGTGAAACTTGCAGCTATTGAATTTCAAGATTATGCATCTATTTGGTGGGAGCAAGTATGTGCCACAAGAAGGAGAAATAGGGAACAACCGATTGCCACTTGGACTGAAATGAAGCAAGTGATGAGGAAACGATTTGTACCCTTCCATTATACCACGGACTTGTACAATCGAGAGAACGAACATAAACTCAAGCAAGAGAATGAATCTCTCAAGAGGAGGGGTTCCATGCAATCTACCTCTTTAAAGCCGGTTTATGCAAGAGGTGATAAGAAGGTTCATTCAGCATTTTCTAAGACTAAACTTAGAGTTGAACCACCTCATGCGGAGTCATTTTGGGAGACATATCAACGTCTTCTACACCAAAAACAAATGGAGTCAAATGGATGCTATCAAAGTGAGTTTTCTAAGAAGGAGATAGCTGACCCTATTCCCAACAAAGGAGTATCTCATCCTATTGAACCATTTGTTGAGGAGGTTGATGATGAGAAAACAATCGAGGGCGTTAAACTAGATAAAGAGATGGAAAAATCTGATGAGATGAGTGGTAAAAAGGAAGAAAAGAGAGAAAGTGAGATGATTGTGAGCAAAAATGTGAGGGCTTATGGTTTTTCTAACGAACTTACCTTTGCTTTATTTAGTGTTTCTTCATTTGTGCAGATTAAGCAAAGTCAAGTGAAGTTAGTCATGCCATGCTCCATTCCAAAGTCACTTGTACAATTCACTAGTTTCCATGGAGTTTGTCCTTTAGGAATTGAATCGATTTGGAATCATCTCATGGAACAATTTCAATTCAAATCTGTCCATACCAAAGGGGAATCACGTCAAATCCACCATGAAGGGAGAATTCCGAAATTTGACTCTCATTTGCTACCTATGGATCATTCATCATCTTTACCTTCTTTTGAGTATAATTTCCATCCTAACACTTGTATTTCTTATCCAGATTTTGAAGAAAAGTGTAAAAGGCTAGCAATGCCTTCTCAAATTGAATCAATTGGTGAAAGGAATGATGAAGTGTCAAAGGGAGTTTTCACACTTAAAACTTGTTCTATACCTTCTTACCATTTAGTTGATAATGTACCATTACTTCTTTACCCGATTTCAAATTTGTTTCAAGTTGAAGTTTATTTTGTTTTTGTAGGTTGTAAAGTTGTCCACAATTTTCCAGTTTTGATTCAAGACTTACAACCTGATTTTGTGCTTATTCCAACTAAAGGTGGTGATATTTCATGCTTATTCACACAGCCAAAAGCTGGTGGCCAAGTGCTCAATTTGTCAGCTTCAACTTGTGCTAGTTCGAGTAACCCTCATGAACTGGAATTCAATTGTTTGCTACCTTATATGTTGGAATATGAGAAATTGTGTGTCACGCAAGATCCCAAAGCTGTCCTCCACGAGTTGTTTAGTGTCTCATCCATGCAACAAGTTGCTCCCAATTTATCCATGCAAGATGATTCAAATCAATGTCAACTAGTGCTGGATTTTACACCTTTGCACAATCAAGGTGTCAATGTGAAGCTTCATGACCAAAGGCTAATTAGAGAGTTTTGGATTGCCATTTGGGATTTTCACACGCCTTACACAA